TTTCTTATCATTTAAGACTCTAAGTGTCTTAGATTTTTAATGGCATGTGTACTTTTTCAATTTAACATTATATTTGTCTAATCATATGAAACGTACTAAGGTATACATTAAATTTTTAATAAGTAGTTACTTATAATAATTATTTATAATTCATAAAAGATGAATAGTAGATAAACAATTTGATTTAATTTTACTTATCTAAGATTATTTAAACTCTTATTTAAGCACATAACATGTTAACTGATCTTTGAAATTATATTTTATTTATTATCTGTTGTCTAAAAAAAATATTTTCTAAAACATAAATAGTACAATAAATATAAACTGATTAACATCTTACATCTGATATATCATTATTGATTGAATAATATTAACTTCTATGTTTTAATTACATATTATTTTTTAAGTTTCATTGCGAGTTATACTGCTCTAATAAAGTCATATTTATTTACAACCAAAACAAAGTTTAAACTAATTTATTATTGTAATAATTGTTTTGACATTTTAGAAAATTATTTATTTTTATTATTTTAATGATTTTATGAATAACTTAGTTACTAAAATGTATATTATCATTACATATTTTTAGTAATAAGAAATAAAAGTAGAAAAAAAAATACCCACAGTATAAATATCGTTTTAGTAGAATTTTTGTCATTATTTAAATAATAATTTAAGAAAATCCTTATGGTTATCTTTTAAATAATGTATAATGCGTTCTCTTTATTATAAAATATGGGAATAGATAAATAAACAAATTTTATATTTGTATATATTAACTATATAACTATATATTTTTATATATTTTTCTTTTTTAATATAAATTTAATTACAGACATTACATCTGTAATGAGTACCTATTTAACTGAATAAACATAATAGGATTTATTAATTGTAATTTTCAAAAATAAATATTGGGAATGTAATTATAGCTATACCAGTAGAAAATTATCTAGTCTTGTCAGTATCAATCTTATCAAGAAAAGTTTAAAGCAACATTTATTCAAAATAAAATAGTCCTTCATAGGTGTAAAACGAATTATAACTGAAAAAAAATATATACTGTTAGAGCAAAAACATTGTAAGAAAATTTGTTAGATTCAAAATATAATTGATTCATAGGTAAATCGTGTTTAATAGACCAGATTTAGTTGATTTTATATCCTGCTAAAGTTGAACTCTGTGAAATATGATACATGCACATTTTCATTAAAAAGTTTAAATGCGTATGTAAAACATTAAAATTTATAGTGGCATGAATAAGTATTATAAAAGCTAGTTACTTGTCTTATTTCAATAAAATAACATTTAATTCATAGACCAATATAAAAATAATTTTAGTTTATAGGTATCAATTATTTTATTAAATAGTTATAAAATAACCATATATTTAGCTAGTGTTTAATCCGAAGTATATTAAATATTTATATGGTTAAATTAAACTGAATTTATAAAACCAATTTTGTTTTGGTAAATTAAAATTCGTATGCGCTGAATACACTTGAAAATTTGAATCCTTTGCTAATACAACTAATCGATTTATTATTTTAATGATCTACACTACACAGCTTGAGGTTTAATTATTTTATAATATATAGCGTGAACATGAAAATAAAATACATTAATAAATTTAGGGTGAATATTAAACATATTAAAATTAAATAAATAAATAAATAAAAATATATAAATAATATAATTAGATATTCATCATATTTTTTAAGTTAAAAAATATATTCATCTTGTATTTGCTCTGCATTGTTTGGGTAATGATATTTTAAGTGTAGATACTTAATATATTATATATTACATAAATAGAAAATCATGGTTATTAAAATTTTAAAATTAATTTATTAGATAATTTTGAGAAAAAAATTCAAATCACTATTGAATCTTATTTATTAAAATAACATTTATATAGGTAATTCATAGTGTAAAAAATGTATGTACTCGTATATAATTTCATTACAATATGGTTTTTAGTTAAATAAAATAATTGAATAGTTAAATAAAATCCTTGTAATAATATTTTTTATCGAAAAATTATTTATATGATTTATATTTAGTAAGTAATTCTTTTATAAAAATTAGATTTATGTTTTATTATTAAAATAAACCTTTAAAATTGGTGCCATCTTCTAATTTTTCACTTAATAATATAAACCGTCAATGTGTGAAATATGTGTATTTTATATTTAAATGTAAATCAATATATTGATCAAAGTTCATATAAAATTTTATGAATTCAATTTTTAAATGATTCAATTTCTAGAATTTCAGAAACACTTAATTTATAATGAATGTAACTTACCATGATAACATAATAATGTAAAATAAATTTAGTAAAATAATTATCGGAGTACATTTAAGGGTATAATTTATTTAACAGTAAATTAATTAGATCATTATGAGCGTTTTTAAATAATTATTAAAGTCTTAATGCTATAATTTATATATATTATCAATATTACATATTGAAGCTTTTACATTTTTCTAAAAATATTTAATAATTTATAAGAATGTAATTGGAGTTCTTATCAACATTTCTACACAAAAATAAAATTGTATACATAATAATATGAGAGTGCGTATAGTAAAGTTTATTTAATTCGTTGTTCTTATTGATCACCTCTTACTTACCGTCACTCACAAACCTCGTTGATTAATTATTTTTTTTTTCTGGTAGATATCTAAATAATTTTTAATAACAAAATAAAGTTAAATGAACAAAATTAAAAATTATGTATTTTATATTGAAAATCTGAATAAGACAGCTATTGCCGCAATACGAGGAAACAACTAAAACGAGTATTATTTATATCATTGCTTTAAAGAAATAGAATTCATACAAACATTTTTGTAATTTATTTATGAATTCTTGAAAGTTATAAATTGCGTTAGATCGTGATGATATGTGGTACTTTCGTGATTTAACAGTTGTATAAAAATGTGATAAGTGTTATCAACATTAAATAATTTATGTATACATCCCTTACCATAAGTATCTCACCAGGCTGCAGTATGATTTATAAGCTATTTGGACATTTTGTTTCCATTATTTTTTACACTGATAAACATATATATATATATTATTATGAATGTTATTTTTATTTTTCAAGTTTATTTTGTTGTACTACTTTTTATGTTTATGTTATGTCAAATAATATGTATGACTTACAGATGTGTACATCTAAGTTACACTTTTTTTATATAATTAATAATTAATTGTTTAATATTAATATTTTTAGTATAGATTTTTCTTTAAAGCTTTAATATAAAACCAGGAAAATTGTATTCTAATCTTTAATAAATTATCTTTTCCGTACATAACGTCTTATTTATGTTGTCTAGTTAACCTGAACAGTATATAATTATTTCACAATTTTCCTTTTATATCATAGATCATTTTTTCCCTTACTTTATTTTTCTATTTTTTTTTTTTATACTCGTATTATATTTTTAGGTATAAATATACTGTAATAATATATAATATAACACGGTTGAGATTTCATTTCATCTTCATGAAATTTATGATCATTCACATTTTTGATAGTAATTCGTTTAAAAACCAAACAAAATAATAACATTATTATTAAATTACTTAAAAATAGTACTATTATTAATTTATCAATTGACGATTGGTTATAATATAAATTTGAACTTATGTTTTTTAAACATAAATAAAAAAATAAAATATTTATACATGAAATAGCTATTTATGTATTGAAATAATATGTCCCTAGATTTTGGTACCTAATTTAAAAGTTTTTTATATATGATATAAATCCCTAAACTTTTTTTTCTTGTAAATCCCCTAATACGGACACATTTAAGTGGTGTATTGAAATTTATGAAATCTTATCCACTTTATATAAGTTGATATAATATATGTATTCAAAAATTGACTTAAATCCTATTCAAAAACGAGGAATATTGGTTTTACTATGAAGTACTTTTTTTCGGAAAATATTTTTCAGGTAGTAAAAATACTTCATAAAACCCATGTTGTACATAAAATAGTTAGAACTTGATAGTAAACAAAACTGTAGTTTATGACGTTGCTATATTGTTATTACTCTGAGAAAAAGTCAAGAAACTCATAAGTCATAATATTAAGACATATTTTTTACATTACCTTCACCGTTCATTTATTTATTCTTAAAAAATTTTACAATGATCTATGTTTTTAGACTATTTATGTTAATAATTTATAAGTATAATAGCATGTTATATTTAACTATATATTATTCATTTTAAAAAAAACTTATCTTTTACGGGCTAAAAATGTTCATTATATAATGTAATACTGCGATGATAGTTGTTTGTAGATGATTATTATTATTCGATTTTTTTTTACAGTTATTATGGTGAAGCACTTTTAGATATCGTTTATCACGGTATCATTTTTTGTGTTTTACCATTAAAGTTCAATAATCAAATATAGAACGAAAAATGCGGATACAATAAAATTGTATCAAATTATTCTAGAACTCTCTGACGATAGAAAAAAAAAAGTTATCAGATTTTATTGTATAAAAAATGAAACTAAGTTTTTATTAGGAAATAATAATAATAATAATAATAATAATAATAATAAAAAGAGTGAAATACAAATTAAACACATCGGTGGCATCCAACGATAAATATGTGTTATATCAAATACTGTATTGTTAATTATATAGTTACTAACTGAGATGTATTTGGATACGGTAAATGTTAATAATAATAATGTACGATTCGCGAGATGAGAGCGAAGTCGTTTTACTATAGCAAGGATCGTCTCTCGTCAAACTCTCGACGAGACGTTTTATTTTTTTTCTCGTAGTGTCAACTTCGTGAAGAGGACGGAAACGAGACGTTAGGCTTGTATGATGATGGTAGACGCTTTGTGCGGCGGCGGTGGCGATGACTACTATATATGAACACCGTTCCGTATCAGTCGCCGGGTGGCTGATGGAAGCGGGGGCGGTCGTCGGCATCATCGACAGTAAGCCAAGCAACGCGCCGCGCGACACACGTACTTGGTGTCACGGCTGGAGTCCTTATTATTTTCTCCGAGCACACGATACGAGCTTATTTCGTCCTGATTGATATTCGCGTAGTTCGGGTCGGCGAATTTATCGTTTTCGTCGTGCAGGATAACGCCAGAATTTCAGGGCGATCGTGACAAACGGAAAATAAAATCAAGATCGGGCTGTTCTTTGCGTGTGTGAGTGTGAGAAAGTGATCGTGTGTGCTCTCTTGAATATTCTGTTTAAAATTAAATCGAAATTGAATTAGTTCCATAGATTTTGCGGGTGAATTTTCAATCGTAAGTTGTCCATGATATTATTTTACTTATGATTTTATAATTGTTTGTGTGCGACTCACATGTATAAATATACATTACACATAAATGAGTAGTCATGTATTTAATTTAATATTATTTTACATGTCGAATCCTCATTTAATGTATCATTTCTTGTGTATATCATGTTATGTTTTTAAATATGTTTTTATTTTAATTTAAAAAAATTATGAAATTAGTATATTAGACTTCTCGAATATCATAGAACGATTTATTTATATTATATCCATATTTTATTGAAAATTAATTTATATATATATATTCAAAAAATGTGAAATAATTGAAAACTTGAAAATTTTAATTTTAAACTACATATAAGAAATTTGATATTTATCAATTTATAATTGTTTTTTAATTACAATAAAATTAAATTACACTTAAGTTTCAATCTCTCTATGATATAATATAGGTACATTATAAATAGATGAAAATATTCAAGATTTTTATTATGTTGGCTATCAAATTTATATGATAATACACACGAATTGTGAAAAATAGAAACTAATGTGGTTAACTTTATTTTACAATTATAACATGTATGAAAAGCTTTAAAAATATCTTAAGGGACTTTTTACGTAACCGTTGGGAACAATAAAATTTTTTACTGTAGTTTTGTTTAAGAACTATTTTTATTTTTTTTTATTTTTTTTTTTTTTTTAATGTAAGTTTGACTAGTTTTTCGACTAGGGATGGTATAACAATTTTCAAAATACAATCATTTATTTTAATTAATATGCTAGATTGTTTAGATAACATAGTACAATCAAATTTTTTAAAATTATTATTCATAATTGTTTTTTTTTTCTTCTAAAACGTTTGATGCCCTCCAAATTTACAGAAATTGTATCTACAGAATTTTTGAATATATTATATTTTATCGATTACAATTATTATTTTGCTTAGATTTGCAAATAAAAATTACAGAAATAAAATTAAATAATTTAACTTTTTATTCTTTAAAGTAAGTACAATATATTCATTAAAAAATGTTGTACATATACTTACTCACATAAGTGTATATACATGCATACAAGTATATAAGTGAAATATGATGAATTTATGAATAACAATAATAAATTATAAGTATTTATTGATTTAAACAAAACAAAAATAGATAGAAATTCTAGACATCTATTTCGTTTCACTACCATCGCAAAATATAAAGGTGAATTATTATTTTCAATTTAAAAATACGAATAAAAATTCAGTGAAGTGTTTAATTATTTAAAAATAAGTTTTATGGTTTTATACATTATTTAATATATTCATGATATTTTGAATAAATTTGTAATAAAATATTGCGTACGGAAAATTTTAATTTTTATAAATATTTTTTTTTTCCTGACTAATGTATTAGAAACTAAACATTATACGATATGTTGTATTGCGAAAAAAGAATAAAGATCAACTGACTTACTGATAATTTCACAGTTTTCCGATTTTTTTCAAAACAACTAACATTTTAAGCGATAAAAAAAAAAATTGTGGGTATATAATACAGAGTTACATAGACTTTTTTTATTACTTAGTTAAAAGAAATATAAACTGTTATAGTTTCTATAGCCTCTTTACAATGGTTGAATCTAAAATTAAAATTCACTGGTTTAAGAATTCCGAAGTCATATTTATCAAAATGTTGATGAGGTACACCTCATATACTGTGAACCAATTGATTATTATTTTTATTTATAACCAATAAAAAAAATACGAATTTTGTATAGCTTTTTCATCTCATCGACAAAATATATACATTTAGCTTGCCAATCCCATAACGAGTTCATCAAAACAGCATACTACATGTGTTAAGTTGGATTTTATCTTTACGACAAACTTACACTCACCGTGACCTTATGTCGATGTGTATATTGATAATGTCGTTCGAGAGAAGATAGATGTTATTTCTCTTTTTATCCTCTTCTCTTTACCTTAATACATGTAAGTATGTAGAGCTCTGGTCTTAGGACTCTCGTGTCAATGGTGAATGAATAATGTATAGCGGCTGTTATCCAGGGTTTCCAGTGCTAAAATTATGTACGAAGTAAAATAACGTGCTTTAATAGAGATGACATGAAGGGGCGTTGTGAGATGAGATGAGGTGAAGTAGATACTGACAAAAAACCGAGAACCGTGTTACCTAAACCGGAAAACTTTATTAGATGGAAAAATATACCGGTAAAAAAAGGCCACGTAGTTAGTAAAAATGGTCGAAATAACATTTTTGTGGTTATTTATACAATTGATAGTCTAAAATATAAATTATTTAAATTATTGGGTTTTGAATCTAATACATTTACAAAAAGTTATTATTCAAATTGATGTACCTATAATGTTATTCTTGCATAAATTTATGAACGCATATTAGTTTATTGATCTAATTCGATGCATTAAAGTAATTAAATTATTTTAGTTTTTTTAAACGTAAAGAAGTATATCATATATTTTTAATTTTAATTTAATTCAATAATGTTTATAATAGCTCAACGAGGATTTCTTATTAATTAACCGTACTTTTAGACACTTACTCGTGGATGATTAAGTATTGATTTGAGTTGTATGTTTTAATATATGTTTTAAGTTTGGATTTATCACATACTAACGTTTAACAAAATCAAGTCAAACAAACTGACTTGTAATAAGACAATTACAATAAGGTATGTTGTTCAAATTAACGTATTTAATATTAAGTGATGATTATTTAGTATAAGTATGCAGAACATAGTATTTTAATAAAATTAAAATTAAATTTTGTATCTTAACTATAATTATTTAGATCATACAATAGAATTTTTTAAGAAATGTAATTGAGTGGATTGGCTCCAAACTGTAACAAGTGAGTAATACCTAGTTGATGATAAAAATCAAAATAAAAGACGAAAGCCAATAATATGGTATTTCCTTACAATGACCCATTATAAAGAAACCTTAAAATATACTAAAAGCACCAAACAATACAATTTGTATTGAATAACGTGATTTGTAACCATTGTAATCTATTTAATTATAATATAAGCATAATTTATTTTGATATAATCTTTGAAAATTATTTTCTCTTAAATATTTTATGAAGCAGGTAGATTATTATTATAATCAAGTGCTGAGTCTATTGTTTTTTGAAAAATAAATATATATTTTTTTTCGATTTGGAATATGAAAATTTAATGTGTGTATAATCAGTAAATCTGACGTAGAAAAGAATCGGGAGTGATGAGTGGAGATGATGCCTAGTTGCACTACCTCAGTGAAAAGTACTTATGATAAAAATAATACTAACTATTTATATACAGAGTGACTCATCTGCATAAACATCACTCCGTTATATTTTTTTAATAATACATAATATATTAAACTGCTGATTATTAAAACTGTTAGAAATACTTAGAAATAATATTTTTAAATGAATAAATATTTCTATTAAAATTTAAAAATTATTGTCATCTTATGGTATATGAACTACTATTTTAAAATAATACAATTTTCTCTATTTTTTCAAATCGAAACCATATATTAAGTGTAAATTATTAAACAAAATAAATAGTTTTCTTAAAAAAAATAATAATATATATATTTCATATAAATTAATATGCTAGTGAGTATTTTAGCATTATCAAAATTCATTAACTTTGAATAATATTGTATTTTTGGAATAACAATAATATATTATATAAAAAAATGTAGTTAGTTTGTAATTATTTTTATTATAATATAGAAGAATACAACGTATATTTCGATAAGGCAAATAAAATGAGACGAGTGTTTCACGTCTTTTTACTGTATAGCTATTTTACTTTTGAAATTTTATTTTTTGTTAAAACGAGTTGAAATATACAGGTGAAATACTTTCATGCATTTTATTTATTGCAAAAAAAAAAAAAAATACTGAACAGTATTGTTAGGAAATGCATAATGTCTGTGAGTAAATTAAATTATTCTTTTGTGATAGAAATGTAATAAACATAAATAATTTAGTAGAATGTGTGATGTAAAACCAATATCCATTTTTAGAAAAAAAAAAAATAAAAACCGAGAACTCACTTTAATGTAAAGTAGGTTTTAAATATGCCTCGTCATTAGTTGGTTACTGATGTGTTAAATTGAAATTCAATGATAATGTACGATAACCTAACATAATCTAACGATGATATATGATAAAGTAACGCGTGAAGAAGATAGAATAATCAAAATTCAGTAACTATATTTTTTAAGGATATTATATGTTATATTCGTATTATATTTTATTATATTTAATTCGTCAATCTGTAAATTTTACATTTATTTGTGGAAAATTTATAAGTCACAATATATTCAAGACTTAATTGTAGAATGGTAAAAATGATTGTGGTATTAATTAATGTAAATTAGTAAAAAATACTATAATTATTGTATTATGCATAGAAGAATTAGTTATAAATATTTGATTAAATTATAATTATATATAAATTATTTCTTTTAGAATTATAAAAAAAAAAAAATTAATTTTGTTAAAAATAGATAACGCATGTAAATTTTTGTTTTCACACAATTTTTTTAATTTATATTTTTCTGGAATCAAAAGAACTGCGAATCGTTTTCTTTTATTCTTCCAATGTACCGAATAAATTAAATTTTCAATTGGATTTGTGTTAATTTTTTTTATCAAAACAGGATGGTGTAGATTATACATACAATAACTCACATTGTTATAAAAATAGTTTTAACACAAAATCGAAAAATAGACATACTTAACACATAAAATATTATACTTTATTTATTTAACTAAGTTTTATTTCTCATAAAGTGTGTTTTTTTTTGCCTCTATCTTAAACTTTAAGTCATATTGCTTTTGTTTTATTTTATTATATTTATAAAGCCTATATTTTGTCGTGTATTATTTTTTCTTTATCTAATTAGACTTATGAAGTATCAATAATTTTAATAATATTTTTGCTATTTTTTACTATATATATATTTTGGTCAATAAGTTTATC